CCCTGTGCATCAAAGAGGGTATCATTTTGAACAAATTAGAGAACCTGAAAGAGGTTTCTTTTACAGAAGTGCAGTGAGCAACAACACTGGTTCCAAAACTAATTTAGTACCAGCAACATGCTGTTGTCATTGAGACCAAAATGTACAAGGTAATCATTAAATTAAAAATGAAACTAGGGAGACCTTCATAAATGGGTGAGTTCACCTCCCCCATGTTGACCTGGTAACATATATATTCCAGTTATGCCACAAAGGTTAAATTTCTTGATGTCCTCTTATTGTATATTTAAGTGAAAAATTGCCAAGGAAGTTCTGCACAGTCACAATTTATTTGGTACATGCTGGTTCCAGGTAAATGGATTAAAAGTGACACAAAATCAGGAAGCATATAGAACGATGTGCCCTCCTGAAAAGGACTCACCAAAGATGCCTGAGCAAACTTAACAGTCATGGAATAAGAGATCCTTTTATGGATCAGTAGTAGGTTAAAGAACAGTGAACAAAGATTAGGAATAAATAATAAATTCTCTCAGTGGAAGGATGTAAAAAAATCCTACAAGGATTTGTGTACCAGTACATTTCTAAAAGGATCTTTCCCAACTGAAAAAATGGACATCAAAATGGAAGATACAGTTCAGTGTAAACAAGTGTAAAGTGATACATGTTGGTATCTCCCCTCCCCACCCCCCAACTTCAAATATAAGTTAGTGGAATCTGAGGTAACAGTGACAAACCAAGATAGACAGAGAAGCAAGTGCCCTGTTCCAGATGGGAAATGGAAATGGCAAGTTTCCTGGCCTTACCAATTCATGGATTCTATTGTATACACTACAACCCATTAATTGGCATTTTGTGTGAACAGGTCACTCTGCAGAATATGCTCGTATTACTTGTTTAACAGAAGTTTCTATCGCAGTTTATATTTAATTCATATTGGATTGAATTTATATTGTTTGCTGACATGCTTCACTAGGAAGCATTAGGTACTGGTATTTCAATTTAATCAGATTCTATAAAGCTTTACCCAGTGAGAACATTATACTTTTACTGACCTGGGTGAAAACTTTGCAGCCTATAGACAGTTCTGCTACCTTTGTGCCCTTTGAAATCATCATTATTGCTTTGAGAAGTGATAGAATGCAAACTTACTGGGACACTAAACACTGTTTTCAGACATCATGATAAACTATGGTTTATTGTGATAGGAATGAGCCACAGCATACCTTGGGCTTGTACCCTCCCCTTGTACTCCAGTGCATACACACAAGGAAGCTTTTGCTTGTGTTCTGATTAACCACAGTTTATTACTACATCTGAACTCTAATCATAGTTTCTCAAAGAAAGCTAGCTTTGTAGCCCATGGTTTGTAGTTTGTTTCATTCCAAGAAACCATTGCTAAGATTAACAATTCATCAGGTACAGATGATGCAGTAAGTTCCATATCCTTGCTATGGAAATTAACATAACAAGGTTCTATTGAAGGGTATCTTATATAGGAATAATGTGTTGGGGGATAGATGGGACCAATAGTAGCTTGAATCCTAAGAATTATGAATGACATTCTGCTTTCCAAAAGAGGCTTTGCTAAGGGAGAAGGGACTTTCCAGAAGAGCATCTAATGTGACATAAGGGAGGCAAATTTGGCAGGAATCTAACATCTTTCCCTTTGCCATCTGTTCATGCATGTGAACATTCACATGTGTACAGCCCAGCTCACCATGGTTGGAATCGAAGAGGTTGCCCATCCCTAATTTGCATTATCTTAACCAAAACAGTAAGTCAGAATTGTTCAGCTTTACTTTCACCAGGAGAATGCTTTTGAACATAAGTTGCAGGATGGAAAACATGTTCCTCCATCTAGCACCCAGTCAAGCAAAGTCTGTAAAAAGCATTAACACTCTCAATTTTCCTTAAATCAGAGTTCGAATATCAGGACTCTGCAATGTTAAGCTATATTAAAGATCTGTATGAGGCAATGCAATACTTTTGTGAGCGTAGCAGGGAGCAACTTAAACAATACCAACTGTAGTTGAAGTCCTGCAGCAAATTAAAGTTGTGGTATTACTTTGCTTTCTAGTGTCAAGCATCATGTTGAGGGAAGATGTTCTGGTTGCTTCTTAATGATAATATTTAAGTAGGGTGAGCTTTAAAAAAAAAAAAGTATGGTGCCTAACAGTTCTTGAACAGTGTGTTATCCTAGTGCAATGATGGCGAACCTATGGCACACATGCTGCAGCGGGCACACAGAGCCCTCTTTGTTGGCACACGAGCCAAGTTGCCCCAGCAGCCATGCACATATTTGAAAAGAGGAATGGTGCCAGGCAACAATGTCCTTCATTAGCCACGACTCGCCACATGAGGAGGTGTCAAACAGGTGGCCAGAGGCAGGTGCAACAGTCGCAGTGGGTGCGCCAGGAAGGAAATGGGCGAGCAGCGAGCGGGTGCGCTGAGTGCTGGTGGAGCCTCCACCCTCCTCCTGCCTCTTCCTCCTCCTTCCTGCCCGCAGCATGTGAGTGGCTGCCCCAGCTGGCCTCCTAGCACAGTGCCGGGACCCTGCTGACTCAGTAGCTGCAGGTGCAGCCAAGCAGCCACATGCCTGCTCCTGGGCCGGGATCCTGCACCGGTGGCCGCAGAGGTGGGGAAGCTGGGCAAAGGGAATGAGCAACGGGGTCAAGGTGGCAAAGCAGCAGCAGCAACTGGAGCAAGGAGGAGGAGAGAGAGGGTGCCTGGGATCGATATGGCGCTTCCTGGGGAGGGAGGCCAAAACAAGGAAAGGTGGAGGCTGGAACTGCTGCGAAGCGAGAGGAGTGGGTGCATGGCGGGGACCCCCCTCCCCACCTGACCCCACTCACCCAGGCTTGGCAGTGCTGTGGGGGCACCTCGAGGAAGATCCCAACAGAAGAGCAGAAGGGATCAGAGATAGCTTCTGCTCACCTTTAGTTTAGGTCTCTCTTCCCCCCATTCCACCCCTCCGGTAAACTTTCAAGTGCCACCGAAGCTCCTGCGGCATTCCTGCGGCATTGGTTTGGGGGCAAGGAGGGAGGGAGGGAGTGCGCATACCTGGGCGCAAGCAAGCCCTGCATCCCCCAACTTGAGGGCGCTGAACGTAAACATGGCTCCTTCTCTCTGTTAATGTGTTTTTCTTTTAAGACAAAAGATGTTAATGTATGAGTTGGTTTTTTTCTGAACTAAAGCCACAGTATTCAGGTTTTATTGCAGTGTTGGCACTTTGTGATAAAAAAGTGGGTTCTGGGTTGCAGTTTGGGCACTCGGTCTCTAAAAAGTTCTCCATCACTGTCCTAGTGGAACAGAAGCCAGTGGTTGTTCATCGCAACTGAACTTTCTTTACCCGGCATCCAAAGAGCAAAGAATGCCAGGCTAGGCTATTGATAGAAAATTCTTCGCAAACAAAAAGAAATAAATATAGTAATCTCGGGAGTCTCAAACATGCACATGTGTTTTCTTCTTCGGCATTTGACTGAAATAAGTAATTTCTTGTGCACTTTAAATCCTTCAACTCTATGCTGATGACTGGGGGCTTGCTAGAGTGGAAAAGGATGAAGCTAATTACACAACGGCCATAAATTTTCTATTAAACTCAGGAAGAACATACTGAATGCCTAACCAGGTCTGTAAAGGCTGTTGCATTTTCTGGCCATTTGTCAAGTTTTTGTGCAAGACAGGTGGAATGGTTTGGAAACAGGAAGTGTGGGTCATGAATTCATCTACTTATCAGTTTGTACCTTGTATTGAGCAACAGTTTCAGTCATGTAATTAGAGGTATTAAAACCATATTGCAGCATGTTTTCATTTTAGCTGTGTGAAGATCCTTCAAAGATGAATATATACTTTGATTAGGATGGTCCTGAATGAAGTCATCCCTTGAAAATGAAGGGACTGTTTTTGAAACTGAGCTTTTGAGACTGTTTTTGAAACTGAGCTTTTGAGACAGTTATGTTAGAGAGAATCATTCAAAATCACTGTCCTCTTTTTTTGTGGTGAGGGTTTGAAATGCCTACCTGAAAGTTTGAAATGCCTGCTTTTAAATGAAAATGAAACTTGATGTAGAGAAAGACAGAAGGTGCAGAAATATTTAAAATATAATACAAAAGTTATTGGATATATGACTTGTTTAAATTTGTGCTAATAAGCAAAACCCTGAGACAATCTAGCATGATCTTGTCACTTCTGTAACCAGGTAATTTTTCTTGTATTGTAACAGTTGTTTTACTGGAAAATAAACTTCACAATTTGATTGTGATTATGAAGTTGTCTAGCCTCTCTGACCTAGTTTGATTTAATCCTTTCCAGTCAGTCCTACTTAAAGGGTTGATTCTAGTACAGCAAAATTCCTTCATAAATACGGAGAGGACACTATGAGAATATGAGACCATATTCATTGAGATAAACCTTGATAAACCTACAATTGCACAGAGTAATTTTACCTTGATCTTGACTCATTTGCACATTGGAAACACATGTCAGTTTGGTTGCCATCATTTGCTGTTGGTGACAAATTCACAAAAGGTATTTGAGTTTAAGTCTTCTTTCCCAGCTGTGTTAAGAAACTGCACCTACAAATTTCTATTTCTTTCTGTGACACTTCTTCCTCTCTGAAATGAAGCATTGTGCTAACTAGCTCTTAACATCAGCATACAATATTACCACACAATTTCACATGTTTTACAATGTAACCTACTTTGAGTTTGTTGTCTCTTGTCCTGTTAATAGGACCTTTCTATCCAGACACAACTATATGGCTACCCAGTTTGCATAAAATTCAAAAAAGGAACTACGTATATAGTTAATAAACCATAGTAAACTCAGCTGTTAGGCAAAATGCACCTGTCTCTTAAAAACAGTGGCATATTTCAATAGCCATGCATGGTGATATTTTCATAACCTGAACAACTGTTTTGAATTGCCTGTAATGCACTGTTCTTCAATTGTTAAAGATACTTCCATTGTTAGACATTTTTCTTTTTTCTTTACATCTTCAGGATTCAAGTGCCCAGTTTGTTCCAAGTTTGTATCTTCTGATGAAATGGATTTACATCTTGTGATGTGCTTGACAAAACCAAGGATAACCTACAATGGTAAGAAAATAAGCCAATTGCTGCTTGTAGTACAGAAATTGCATCATTATTACGCCTTGCCAATTGGGTATTTTTTTAATTAGCAAGTGCAGTGATCTTAGTTCAGAGAACACTGGTTCTTGGGCCGATAGAAATGTAATAAATAAAGTAAAATATAAGTACATACTTGAAACTGATAATACTCTACTTTCTGCTAGCTCTTTCTGATGATTATTTTCTTCTTTCCCTGCCTGGTCTTCCCAGATCCTTTCCCTTTCTTTGCCATCTTTAAGGATTGTAATTAGGTAGAAGACTAGAGTAATTATGTGACCATGTCACTGAATGACTATTTGAGCATGCAGTCTGGCATTTCAGAAGTGATGATCTTTGCTTGTTCCCTAACTTTTGCTGCATTAACTGGAATGGATCTGAATGAAAAATTCTCAACGTCTGTAATATCTGTGACTTTCCTCTTCCTTCTATATGGCTAAAGTAAATGAGAAGTGAAATTCAGTGATACTATACATTCACCAACTATAGATTGGTAGCTATTTTCAGTTATATTTTCAGTATGAGTACAGTGATATTAAAAATATTAACCTATATATATATTAAGATAAAACATTTGTATGCTATTATTTCAATATGTCACTAAACATTGGGAAGAAATTTTGTTGCATACGGTCCAGTTAAAAGTAATAGCTGTGTCTCAAGGGCAAATTGAAACTCATTTGAGAGACTAGTAGTCAGAGCTATGAAAGGTCTACTGGCTGTTTTTTACCTTCATAAGTTGTTCCTTAGTCATACAAAATTAGAATGTTATCTTTAGGCCAATTTCATTCACATATAGTATGTGCGTAGGTGTGTGTGTGTGTGTGTGTGTGTTTCTACTCATCAGTCCAGCAACATACCATTTTACATATGTTTGTGACTCCTCTGCTTTGTCCTGCCACAAAATAATGAACACTTACAGCCATTTATCAAATGGTAATAACCATTTTGTGCACGTTGCTAGGTATCCATTAAATTTACTTTCCAGCTACACAAGGGCAAGTGCTTTGGACAAGAAGGACATTAGCAGTGCATCTCTCCTTTTTTGAAATCTCATTTGAGCTGAGGTTGGAAGTTGCAGGCATCTCCCACACTGATGAGAGAAATCCGTTTCACACAAAAGCTCTTGGCACATGTTAGAGAACTGGAGGGAATTGAATACAAGCTGGCTGATATGTCAGTACCTGTTGTCTGCAATGATGAATCATAATTATGGAGAATCCTGGGTTACTGTTCATGTGTTGTTGTATAAAGTCTGTTTCTTTCTGCTTGGCTTTTCCTACCAGTACCAGTGGGAGTAACTGAATTAATCAGGAGATTGCAGTTTACAATATGATCTTGTCAGTGTCAACTAAGAAGAAAGTCCCAGTGAGTTCCCTGATTGCAGTTTTATTGTGTCATTTGAATTGGGGCTTCTGGCTCATTGTTCCTTTGACAAGCCAGGAATTGTAAATCAAGACCTGGTACTGGTACAGATCAGCAACTCAGAATATGAGTTTAGTATTTGAACCCTCCCTTGTCATTATGTGCAAATCTAGAACTAAGAGTTAAGTAACGGTTGTTAAATATGAACAATCCTGGAAGAGAATCCACGGCTTGCTGTTGAATTGTGAACTCTGTCTGTTTGAATACTGGGCTATTGTTACATGCAAACCCAGTACCATTGAAGCAGAAGGCAGGAGCGGTTAAAAAAATCCCTTGCAACATGCCAGGATGGCTAGGCTCTAGAGGCATTCAAGATATAGAGAGTGGATGAAGGAGGAGCAAATTGTGCTTTGCATGATTGTTGGACAAGAGAAATCATGAGTAAATTCTAGGTGAGTTCTGGTTTGCTATTACATGTGAGCCAGGTTGTTGGCTTCTAATTACGGCTTGTGACAAGAAAAGAGCCCCAATTAAGATAATATGACATGGCATCCTTTCCTAGGTTAGTATGATCAGTCTTGTAGGCAGGAAGAGCCAAACAGAAGTTAAAGTGTAGCTAGCACAAAGATGACACTCCAGAACAGTCAGCCAGAATTCTCCAATTCTCCAATATTATTGCATATTGTTACAAGCGAATGTGACCATCGCGTAGGACAACTTAAATGCAGTTAGTGCTATCCCAGCAAATGGAAAAAACATAAACACTTACATTCTTGATCAGCAATTGGCGAAATCAGGGAAATAGTAAACATTATCTTCACCACCCCAGGCAATTACAAACCACTGGCTTACCAAATTTTGCATCTGGGTCAGACTCGCTCAACAGAAGAGAGACATATAGTAAATGTCAGATGTTTGAGAACTGCAAGACATGGACAAATGTTTATTTATTTAATAGTAACAGAAGAGGGTTGACTCATTCTCTGCAGGGCTCTTGGGAGTGCTGACTGGGCTGCTGTTTGAGGCACAGAGTGGAAGTGAAATGATTGATGGGCCACTGTGATTGGTTATCACAGCAGGAGATTCGAGCATCTTTCCCTGAAGGTTTTTTTGTGCTCAGCTGCTGGTTTGAGCCTTGATTGGTTGAGGCTCAGAGTTGAAGTCACATGATTGAAGCACTACAATTGGTTATCACAGCCTTGTTGCCTGCTTTTGTCCACCCAGGCTTGGCTGCTCAGAAGAGAAGTTGCATATGGCTTTTTCAGCTCCCCATTTCATGTACCAGCTTGGCTGCTAGAAGTTGCATCAGGCTTTTATGGCATGAGACTGGCTAGCCTCAGTTTGGTCACTCCTGATCTTTGTCAGACGTATCCACATCGCATCAGTATTTACCCAGTCTTAAAAGTTGAAGTGGAAAGTTTGCGCTTATGTATTGAAAAGATGCTAACATGTCTCTCTTTATACAAAGTGCTCCCCCACTTCACACATGCTTGACCACTCCCATTGCCATGGAAAAGAAACGTGTTATACATTTAACAATATGGAAAAACTGTGGTACAAATATGCCTGGCCTGTGCAGGAAGCTGAAAATAAACCAATGTCTTCTTTCTGAGAGCAGACAACTTGTCACCGCCTCTTCAGGTGGTTACACAGATGTCAAGAAATGGTGTGTATAACCTTACCACTTAAGCAGTAAAGTTTTCCATTTAGGTAGTTTTTTCACACTTCACTCATGTTACTGTTAATTCATGACAGTATTCTGGTATTGTCGGTATAGCATGTGCAACTACTGAGAACTTTAGCTTTGTACATTATGCCTCTGTTGCTCTATATTTGACTTCCAAGGTAAATGTCCTCAACTGCTGTCTAGTATTAAGGAAGTCCACTCTTAGTGCTTTACTTAATGGACTAGAGAGCAAGAATACAGTTTTGTTATACTTGCACTGAGGCACTGCTAGGACATGCACCATAGACATATAAACTGTTGCTCTGATTTCCTTAAGGGCAAGGCTGAGTGAATGCCATGCTTTAATCCTTCTGCACCCAGAAAAGCTGAACTCTGTGATTTGTATAAATTATACAATTTGACCGATTTCTTTTAGTTTGGCATAATTCTCCATAAGAAATAAAAAAAGCCTGCCATCTGGACCCGACACTGTTTGGTAACTATTGCCCAATTGCAAATGACTCTTTTTAGGGAAGATACTGAAGCAGGCTATTGCAAAATAATTGCAGGCACTGTTAGGGGATGGCAATAATCTAAACCAATTCCTGACTGAGTTTTGACCTGTGTACTGAACTGAATCTGTTTGGTTGCCCTGATAGATGACCTTTACTGGGCTTAGGGACAAGGGGAGTGTGACACGGTTAATTCTATTTGATTTCTTTTTAGCGTTCTATATCATTGACCCATAGTATTCTCCTAGATTGACTGTGCGTTGAGCATTGGAAGCACTGTGTTAAAATGGTTCTGATCTTAACCTGTAGATTTCAGAGATTGGGTGACTGTTCCTTAGCCACGTGGCAGTTTAGTTGTGGAATTCTGCAGGTTATGTAAGACCATAAGAAAGTCATGCTGGACCAGACCAGAAGTCCATCAAGTTGCCTGTGTTTTAGCATCTATATGAAGCTGCTGGGAATGTTCATTATGGGATTTGGAGCCAAGGGCTATCACTATGCTGATGACACACTATCTCACTGTGACACCTGGATCAGGAGAGGCTGTGCAAGCCCAAGAGCGGTGTCTGGACTCAGTTGTTGAGTGGAAGATGACCAGGACATTGAAGCTGAATCCTGACAGGATGGAAGTCGTCTGGTTGAATGAGTCCTCTGTCCAGGAGTTAGGCTCATTGTTTGTTTTGGATGGGATTGTACTGGCAGGATGAAAATACCATGGCATCATATTAGAGTTGGAAGCAACCAGTAGTAGAGTTGGAAGGGAATCCAACACCCTGCTCAGTTCAGGACATCCCTCTCAGATGGCTGTCCAACTGCCTCTTGAATGCCTCCAGTGTGGAAGAGCCCATGACCTCCCTAGGCCATGGGTTCTATTGCTGTACTGCTCTAACAATCAGAAAGTTTTTCTTGAAGTTTTTCCATCTGAAATCTGTCTTCCTGTAACTTAAGCCCATTATTCCATGTCCTGTACTCCGGGATGATTGAGAAGAGTTCCTGGCATTCCTCTGTGTGATAGCCTTTCAAGTATTTGAAAAATGCTATTACATCTCCTCTCGGTCTTTTTTCCCACAAAGCTAAGCATGCCCAGTTTGTTCAATCTTTTCTTGGGGGACTTTGTTTTCAGTTCTGATCAGGTCTGGAAATACTCCTAGATCCTTTACTGCCCCTGGGGTCCCAAATTACTGTGATAACTTGGAGTATCTTTTATCATGTTTGATTGCTTTGCCAGCTACAGTTTCTCCTGGCAAGAATAGCTTGACCACAGTGATAGAGGCACTAGACTGGATTACTGCAATGTTTTTTTATGTGTGGCTGCTCTGCTGTTATTAGGAAGGCTCCTTCTCTGCATGCTACTTCTTTGCTGAGCGAACTGTACTGGCCTAGATGTTACTTACAGGGCCAAGTTTAAGGTTTTGGTACAGTGTACA